TCCAATGGATAGAAAGGGCTTGTTAATTCGTGAGGCAGGTTTTCAGTTCTCACCCGTTGACCAATAAGTAACCTGACTTAAATAATAGAGTAAATGTTCTGAGGGGCATTCACATAAGCTCTCATCTGCTCTGCCAACCTACATGTGAATTGGTGCACATTGTGTGATGCAGAGAGACTGGGTACACTAGAGTGCGCACTCCGGAGATTCAGTTGCCTAACCGATTGGAGCGGAATCAATTGAGCGGCTGAATATGTGCGACAGATTGAAGCTCATAAGTTGTGCCGTATGACTGCAGTCAGTTGGTCCTCCTAAACTGTGGTGCAAAAAATTCTCTTTCTAGAATAACCAAAAAGGCGATGTGTTGTCCGGTTTTGCCAGAAGCCCAGACGACATTCTCAGGTGTTCACCCACTGGGCAAACACTGAGAATTTCCGGTTTTACTCTTTTAGCTTACAAAGGTATCCTGATGCACAATTCGGTTGGCCTAACCAAACGTAGCTGCTCTACTGACCATCTTCAAGAACAAGGAGAGTTCTCAAAAAGATGCTGATTTCTAAGGGTTACCCAAAGAAATTTATTCAAGTCCACAACAAACAACTAGATAAATGGGAGACAGATTACCCAGTAAAAAAGCTTTATAAGTCAACAAAGTAGAAGAAATGGTGAAGCGGCCTGATCGAGCGATGCACGGTAGCTCATTACATAGTTGGCAGTCTCTAGGCAATGTACATAGGGTGACCCATGCCCACAAAGTGCAATTTTCGGAGTAACCTCCATACGGAGAGACGACATCGAGGAATATCAGGTACTCTAACTCCGCGCCTCCGCGTTTGTGCATATAGCAAAGGCTAAACACCGGGACTAGTGTATGACGCATTGGAAACGTAACATGTAAATTTGAGGCAGGAAAACATCTGGACAAGCTACGTCAGTAATTTACGTATCTTATGGAGTGCCCCACCAGTATCATCCCACATCATGTTTTGCCCACTCATGTAAAGGGCGAAGGCGATAGTGAGCTTCTTCCCGGCCAAGCTCCACGTTACCCATTATGTGGCATTCCTTACGCTTTAGACCACTTATCAAGAGGCTAATTTCTAATCCTCGTTTGTAACCCTCCCATAAAAGGCCCGACTTCTCTTATGGAAACTTCTTAAGGTGAAAAGATGTTTTGCGGTGCCCGTATGGCCGATGAGACTATAGTGCTGTTTGGCGCATTACTGGTAGGTTTTAATGCACGTGCATTCCACCTCAGTAGTAGGGGCCTTTGCTGCACTGATATATGTGCTATATCACTGTGCAGCGTTCAGGAGTACACAGTGCACCGCATATCACGATGAAACCAGTGACAACAATATGAGTATTCTGAATGAGACCATGCATCAGCTTAACTTTCCAGCACAGATACACGCTTCGAGTGAAAGCGACGCGCAGTCTTATCCATTCTGAGTATAGAGCCACGAAAAATTGACCCAGTCATTTGATTACCTCCTGTCAGGGTACGCCTAACACAGCAAGCGCCTATTTCTTTGTTTTGTTCTTCGTGTGTTAGCCGTCTAGTATGCATTCCTAACTCATGACCAATGCTTGAGTACCAATCTGTGTTTTACGCTACATGATAAGAACTAATTGTTTAATTATACCCAATAGCAGCTCGACTGGCCTTCCTCTTCTTGAATGACATTTCTCTTTCTTGAAATTTGATGTAGATACTTTGACACATTCCCCACAAAGTTGGATAATATTAGCTTGGGAAGCCTAACACAAACTATAGCATCTCAAAAGACGCTTTCTTCATTGGCTTGTTATGTAAGGTGTCCTCCAACCAACAATGGGAAATTATTACTCCCCTAGCTCGAATATATTTTCCTCGATGGCAGCCGTAATTTTGCATCTCATGTTTGCGACTTCCAAGTTCGATTACATTGTTGGTCAGACTCCGGTTTACGGTACTCTGTTTGTGAATTCCAGAATGCAGCTGGGACGCGTGATATGGAAGCGCGCTTTGATCTATTTTGAATATTTCAACTTAAGTACACGATGGAATAAATTTGTCTCCCACAAGGCCCTGGATAATATAGTGTGCGTTGTCTCGTGTGACAAGTTTGTTAAAGGTCTGCGTTGCAACCCACACAAACGAAATGAACAGAAATGTGTGCCCAACCTTCATGTGCCTAACCGTGATATATGGGCGATAGACACTTTTTTAACGAATAATGTACACAGGTTGATATTTATCCAAGTCTCGATGTAGCAGACAACAGTGTTGATAGGCTTTCCGAAAGACACCAGTATTAGTCACATGACACCAAACTGACATCAGAAATCATCTAAAGGTCCCCAAAGATTGTGTAATCAATAAAGGTTGTTGACTATTTGGAACTATCCTGAAAAATGGTATATCTCGACTAAACAATACAACAGTAATGGAATATCTTAATCTGCTGCGTCAGTAGCACGTAGGTATTATTTATCCAGGATTATTAAGGTGAACCGACTTGATTTCCGGGCCCTTTCAATTTCCTTTCTATAGGTCTTCTTAGCTGACAGCGATCCGCCAAACAACCACTGCCACTGCATCAACAAGGTTTGCCTTCAAAGGTTTTCGAATAGTTCGGGTGTCTTGTAACGAGATGCCTGGCTGTATACTAATAATAGTGTTCATCCACTTGTAACACCCATTGTGTGCCTAACTGCCATGCCACCCAAACGATGGGCAAGTGCTAAGATATCTCTAGGTTGCATGCTTCTGGGCAGAAGTGATCAATAAGCCAGGCTTGGGTTCGAACGAGAAAATTCAGAGCAGTAAGTTTTCCTCTCAACCGCCAAGCTGTCTTGAGCTGTTTTGGGCCAGTCGAGCTGAAGTCAGATATGCCTAACCACATGTGCTGTCCCTTCACGAGACAGGGGAGAATTCTTCATCAGGCGTGTTAAAAATTCAAAATAACTGATGGTGTTTGCCCGCCTGTATTTGTCTTTCATCCCGCATAGATGATCCGGGCATCTACTGTTATCAAATAATAGCGCCTCCGCATTAGCTAAGAATTATTTTCAGACCAAGTACCGACTGGTTCGGGTCATTTGTACCTATGTGAGAATCTCAAGTATAATTTAATAAAGAGGAAAGTCGTGAGAACTGGTCCCAGTATTTTGTTTTGAAACAAGAGGATGAAGCAGCATTCTGTTAAGGAGCCCATCTATGAGGGGTGTAAATTGATTCGTATGTCTTTATATAACTTGATAAGAGATTTTGTTATTTTAGAGCCACGAGGATCCAAAACACGACCGGTTTCCTAATAAATTTACTAAGGACGGTTCTGATATTTTTAAAATATGTAAATGTTTTTCTTTTTTCCACTCACTGCAGGTAAATTATAGGGGACCTGACTACTTCAGAGCAGTTAGTGGATATTCTTAAATTTCACCATTCTCGTGGGACAGCTGATAAGTACCAACTCAGTGATATTGGGATTTGACAAAGGTGAACCCTTAAACGCTTCCGTGTGATTGGAATTCATCACAACATACTGGTCCGGTGCAACGGGATCGGTCTTTAGGCAACAGCCTACCTAGGTACTAAGGCAATTACTAAACACACTTGCGAGTGCAGAGAATACAATATGAATTGGCCACATATTTCAGTTTATATGGAGCGTCTGTCAAAATCTGTCATGGCAAACGTTGTCTAATTGTGAACCGTGCACAGAAGTGCCAAGAGAAACGGTCTTTTGGAAATAAGTTGTATAATAACGAAAATACCTAATTTATCCGGTCGGTTCTGGCCACCCCTTTAAAGACCGATTTTAGATGCAAACCGGTCTCATTTTTTATGGAATTTCTTATTGCTTCGATTTTCATGCTATACCCGGTCCTTACTTAACAGCAGAATTTTCACTTGGCTGATTCATTCCTCCAGAGGATAACTTCACAAACGCTTTTGGCTTAAATGCCTCAGAGAAAAGGTGCTACTATTCGGCATAATTAGCCATACTCATCACTTTTTGGAGCCTTAAGCTAGTGAGAAAACAAAATTCTTCCCATTATATGTCGATAGATTTACTTGAAAATACAGAACGACCTAACGCACAAGAGTTTTCTTCCGGAGCGGACCAATGAAACTTGTCTTTGTTGATGTTGGTATCTCCAAAGCTACTGGAACCATATCATATCAGACAAAGTTCATTGTTACCTGATTTGACAATGGTCTATGAAGGGTACATCCTGTTAGTGTCAAACAGTATTAGGAAGAAAGTAAGTCCGACCATTGTTAGAAAAATCATTTAAGTAAAAAGGACTAAACTCGTCCGCTTAGTAAAAGGGTCTAAGGTCTCAGGAGGAAATTTAACTTGCAAGCGCGTTATTTTTATGCTTCTACTATGTGTTTCCAACCACATAATTGAGCCTGGTGACCAACGACCTATGAGCGTCAATTTTGTCCAGTCGGTTCACATTTTTCTCATACACCTTCCACCCACTTGAGGCTGAAATCTGGATGATAACTTTTGTCAGATGGTAGCAGAGAAATCTGTGTTATTACAAGAGAATATTTGTCTGATATGAGGTCCTATCCACTGTTGTTGCCAGTAGAATGTCGTGAAGTAACTAACAGACAGGAAGTATGGCCCTATAAAAGTTTTACGGAGTACAAGAATTAAAACCTGCCAAAATGACAAGGGTATGTCTCGTTTATTCAGATTATTAGAACTGTCGATTTTAATTATATGAAGCGATTTTTATACATATAAAACCTTTTACAAATAATCTTCGCATGAGTGGGTGACTCCATCAGATTTCGTATTTCCACTGAAATGAGTACAACTCACAAGCTTAAGGTTGGCCAGAAATCAGCTTCTCGCTCATTGTGGGTTGAACCACTCACCCATGCATGATATTCTCTGGATGGACAAAACAACCTTAATCTTCAAATTAAAAGTTAACAGGTCAATTTGGTTTTAACGGGAGACAATTGAATCTCTCGTTTATGATGTCCTTCAGCTGAATGTGCTGCACACAGGCCGCCTCATGATTCAGTTGGCACAATATTCGAGATATCGCGGTATATTTTCATAAAGGAAACTACTCACAAGGTTGCTGAAAACTCTTCGACAGCCCACGACCGCGCCTACCTGATGAGCCCCAAGCTTGTGAGTAGTTTCCTTTATAAAAGTTAACAGGTTTGAGCGCTGTGATCAGTTAAAATTAAAAAGACTTCTTCTCGGTTCAGTTCCAAAGGGTGGTCAATGGTGCTCATTATTCTGAAGTTATTTGCGTTGTTGATCACACTATTCATTTGCAACTCCCACGGAGTCAAACAATATGACTATTTGGTTTTACATTATCCGGATGCCAGTCCAAGTGACAAAGTGGAGCTTGAGGCACAGTTTATCTTGATGATCCCCCTTAACCCATTTAACTGAGTAGCCCAGAATGAGTACACATCCACCGAGCCGAAATATCGAATAACGGAAGTTGTTCGCTGTTACGTGACATGAACACCAACAACGGAATATCCGCGGGCATCTTATGCTATGGATTTTTAAAATTTGAGCGTCTACTTTTTCGTGATTAGCTGTGTGACTAAGAAGCAACTGCATAAAAGGAGTGAGTCGAATTAACCTGAAACTTATAAGTTCAGAACCGATCAATGTCATTCATCACGGGCACATTATCAACCAACCGTATCTACTTAAATCGGCTTGCTCTGAAATTATTCTGAAAATTGAGCTATGATTTTGCTTGGCACCGGTGAACACAGATACGCGAGAAAAATTTTTAGCATAACATGCGTACCGTAGATGTTCACTTTCCACTAATCGGATAGTGCGCAAAACATATTTGCAACAGGTTACGTGCCCCTACAAGACCCGGGTTTTTGACACACCCAGTCGGCTCGTTCCGCTGAGAACGAAACGAGCGCAAGCGCATGCCAACGTTTGTTTGTGTGGCGTTCACGTGACCAAGTAACTGAGTCGTCTGAGTGCGGATTTGGCTCACTCATATGAACAGGTTCCTTGTGACTTTAGTGAAAGTTACCCCCTAACGACATAGATGTTCTCAGCATATTCAAAGTTTGGGACGAGGCGCTAGAAGCTGGATAGCGTCGTGGTACCGGCTATGCAGTGACCGGGGATGGTGAACTCACGTTTGGGGGGGGGGTGAAATCTATGCATCACGGATGGTCGCTTCATTAGCTATTCTCCGTTTAAGTCTCCGTTAAAGTTGTCACCAATGTCTTATGACATCCTAACACCTGCCCAAAGTTATTTGATTTAGGTCAACTCAACCTTAGGAAAGTTGCTTTGACACATTAGCCAAAACATTAGTAGTTTTTGGAGGTATCTTTTCGTCTGTACTACGCAATTCAAGATTAGACAATCTTTTTCTCCTATCTGATAATCGGATAAAGAAGAGGACACAGATTTTTCTCTACATTAGGAAACGCTATGGTGGAAAGCAGTCACTAAATAATACTGATCGTGTGAATAGGATGACGGTGATCCAACCTCCTGCAGGTATGGTCTTAGGAAGGATGTGAAAGAATTTGTACTAAAGAGGTTTCAAGAAAACAACTAGCATTTCATGCTTCTGGTTGTTAACCACAAAGACGATACATTCACAGTCACATTTTGCGTTATTGAAGGATTCATTTTCCGGGCTCACTTTCTGAGAATTGAATTTGAATTTGAATTTTTTGGCGATGCACGGAGACTTGTGTCACTGCTGAGCCATTCTTTACATGCAGCCTTCCGAACTTTCGCGAAAATCTCAGGCAACTCAGTGAGCTAAGAATTCATCTGCTAATATGTGGGGTCCTCGGTCTTCTTGGCATCACACACGCCCCTAGTCCTCCCACTCTCCCAGCCATTACCTCCCTGACACCAACAAACACCGGCTTCAAAGGAGATGAGTCGTCCTCCAATAGCTTATGGCTGCATCCACACTGCTGTGTAGACCATATTTTCTGCAACCGCTTTCATAATCCACCCAAAAAAACCCGCCTGGAAAGCCGTTATACTGAAAAGCATTTTCCAAATATGCTCACTCGTGCCTACATCTGGAAGTGTCAGCAGATTAAAAGCTAGCTAACACCGGTAGAATCTTGGTTTAGAACATCAACGGCCGGGTAGTCCTAGTCTGCCCTAAATTTTGTCGATTCCCAGATGAACCTACCTGACCATCGATGAAATGGTAACGGGCAAATATGGCAGTGAAAACTTTGGACGGTTAGAACTTTGCCCTCTACAGAAGAGTGAGATTTGCCAACGTATGAAATAATCATGAAGATGGACTCAAACAAATCCACATCTACGTCTCACGCTAAACATCAAGGCTTTCTTGTGTGGGTAGCAGTATCCCAGCTCAACGCATACTCGTGTGTTTGAAGATTACATAATGATAATCGAGCGTCTTCTAAAGAAGTTGGCTGGATTTGAATGTGGGATGCATATTTGCGATCTGTCATATGTTAAAAAAAACTGTCATTCTAAGTAGCAAGACTAAAATTATATAGCCATTTGAGTTCCATTGATGGGTTGATTTATTTGCGGCATTGGAAAATGAATCCCGGCAAGAACATTTAACTCAACTCAATTGCATGCGTGTGAGCTGCAATTCCTATGGTATCATTGAATTTTGGTAAATTAGGCCTTTAACCATGTTGAAACATAATGACACTTTGAATGTTTCACAGCGCTGGTTAGGGGCCATGATATGACAATAATTTGGCTTGCATATTTGCTTGTGCACATTCTTCGGCACAGGCAATAGACATACGTGGGGAAAATTCAACGTGTTCTTTACGCTCGACAGCCCCGACCTGCAAAACATAAACGTTTTGCGAGGAAAGTTTTTCATTCAACGACTGTTTTGGATGATTTAAAAATCCATTTTCTACAAATAGTTTTTTAACAAATCATGGGCGTTTCAGCATATCGGTTTTTTCATCTATCCTGTGGATAACACCTGTTTATCTATTATTAAAGTTGGTGTTCGTGCAGGTGGATTTCACTGCGAATGTATGGTGGTTGTCGACGATGTAGCTCCCACTATTCCTTATACCCTAATCTACGCTCATTCATTATAATTTGGAAGGAAACATTTAACCATTCGTGCAACCAATTTCAAAGCCAAGGCACCATTCAAAACTAAAGTGGTCTTTTTCGCCCAAAAAGGAGAAGCAGCCTTTAAAGGGACCCATGTTCCTTCGTTGAAATTACTTTGAAATAGATCGCTAAAACATTATGAAGTGCCAGATTTGCGTGTCGCAACCTTATTGAAAATCAAGCGAACTCAGATTATCGTACTTACAAATTCCAAGCAGAAACGAACAGATCATCTTTCTATTTTCAGCTCAAAGTATTCTATGCACACTGTTTTTTCTCCGCTTAAGATAAGATTAGCAATCCAATCTTACGAAATAAGAAGCTTGTGGATTAATAAATGCCAGATGAGTAGGGATAATCCGGGTAAGATTACCATCTTTATTTTCTCAAATATCATTTGAACATATCACATTTAGTTACGGGTGATTTTTTTCAAACCGACTTTTACTCCATTGGGGCTCAGCAGAAAAATACTTTCGAGACGCACAACACATTTTCTGATTTAGTCATACGTTTGGTTGTTAACATTTCTATGATAAAACCAGTTAATTAAAGACATGAGTGGATATTCTGCCCTCGTCATGAGCAATCCACTATACGTAGTCAGTCTTATTGGTGACCAATTTACCATAAACTATAAGCATCTATTCAATAAGATCCTACAGTCCGAAGTTTGATTAGTTTCTAGGATGCCAAGAAGCTGAGCGATGCGACAGTAATTGTATTAAAGAAAACTCGTCATGTGGCTGTAGAAATCGTAGCCCCTTATTCATATCTTCAGATGGCTTGTTAAAAAAATTTTGTAGCTGTCGGCATAATGAATCTCAGTAAGGGCAAAAGGTGCAGTATAGGCTGGCCACCAATAGGTACCTCGTATTAAGTTCCCAGACAATTACATGATAAGTATCGGCTTGTCTGTGATCATCAGCAACTTCTCGGCTAAATTATTATATGTTTTCATGAAAAACCAAGCTTTTGAAAAGACAACAGCCAGTTATACGGAGTTCCGATCGCCATGTGCTGAATACTTTGAAGTTTGCATATAAGCTACCAAATGTTCCTAAAACGTTCAAATGTAGTGCAGTAGTTGCCAGTTCGATCAGGCCGTCCTGTTCAGCACCACAGTCCTCTTACTTAACACACTGAGTTATCTCCTTTTTCCTTAAGCCGGAGATCAAAGGATTTTCATGCCTCCATGGTGTTTTATCAGGCTTGTTCTGTACTTCCTCTTATAAGAACAGCGGATACGACTGTCAGCACATTGGTCAGTGTATATGCATATTCATTCATTCATCGTTTGCTGATAATTATCCGAAAAATTACCACAGAAACATCCTTTAGTTCACCCATGCTAACCCTTTCTTTTGGGTTGAAAAACAATATTCGTTTTGATTGATGTCATTTGTCATACTCATACCGAGAATTGTCAGAAGTCTGTTCAAGGAACGTTTTAGTGATTTAATCTTTACGGTTACATTGCTTCGTAAAGACATTATCGCGTCCAGGTTTGCCTTATCATTGAATTTGTTTCGAAATTTCTGTATGAGAAATGTGATGAGCCAGCTTCAAGTTACCACCCCTTGTTCCGCGTTGTCACGGAATATGTCAACAGAATGAAAATGATCACTTGTGTCTTTCGCCATAAATAATTCTGTGCTCCTATAGAGATACATTGAAAACAATGTTGTGAAAAATCGGTTTGAGCGTGTTTGAATGATGCTCACACATATACAACCGGTCAGAATAAAAACAATGTGACTACGGCGTTAGCGAAAGAATAGGAGAGTAAGAATAGGCTACATGAATACAACAGCTGATCGACATTCCAATAACTATTTGTCTAATGTTTCCGATGTAAAAACACAGAAAAGTCATCCGGGGAAATGTTTCCATAGTTGTCCACATATATTGAAAAATGTGTTGAATCTATGTATTTTCTACATTTCAGTCTTAAAGGTTTTGCGATCGAGAAAAATATATCCTGCAATAGTAAAATAGTACGGGTAGTACTGTTGGTTTTTCTAGCATAGGTAACCGACAGATTCACCACCTAGGTCATTCTTGGTTTCTCTGGCATTGGTAAGTTATATTCGGGTTGATCTGATCTACAAATTTGTACAGTAGTTGAGCGTTCGGGGAAGAATACAGATAGGAATTGTTGGAAGAGTTGATCACAAGCAGCGATTACTTCGATCTTAAACGTTCGTTGATCGGGAAGTGGACCAACGTGCGTCCGGTGTCTCAAGTGATTCAGGATAAGCCGGTCGTACTTCAGTTGACCGGGCATCGGAAACATAGGGGAATGATAAACCATCATCTAAAATTAGGCACAGAGAAGGAACAACAGTCATTCTTCTTCCCAGAAAGTATTGTCATATTGTAATAAATGTCAGCAAACCTCTACAAATTATAGCATGCAGGAAACATACTTTCAGTTCAATTCCATTTCAGCCGCTGGCTCAGTCTGCCCTATCTAGCCAATTGTCAGTTCGGCGTCACGCTTTACTAACAGCTATCATTCGCAAGCTTATAATTGAGTAAATTGTGTAGAGTATTTTATTTGTACTATAGATTACTGCTCCGGTAAGTTAACAGAACTAGACGGAGTTTATAAAAGCTGACAGTATTTCTGGTGAAAAGCGAGAAAGAACAATATTCGTTTATAATTCTTCAGAAGCCTGTATAGTTGAACCAGTGTCCAGAAGCGAACAGATACAACTAACGCAGACAATTACTTTTGTCACTCCTCGACAGTCTCCAGTTTTGCACGATTATTTGTCCCGGCGAATTCTTACATATCTGTGGAGTCAGCTTAGCAGTTATAATAACACTCTATATGTCTCTACTCACAGTGCACTCATCATAATTGGATAAGAAAACTAACAAGACCTTCCCACACGCACTACTCTAATAAATTGACCATCGATATAGTGTTCTATGCTGTAAGCGTTACTCACCAAAGTGAGCTGAATGAAAAAGCGTTGAGAATTGATTGGCTTCTCATCAAACAGAAATCCCAATATAACCGGATAAAAATCCTGACCGTTCGGCTTACGTCACTGTGCAAAACGTGAATATGGCATCACATTTTCAACGAATGTCCATGTTCTTTCTATCTCTGAAACTTAGAAGCTAGGCGGTTATCTGAACAAAATAACTGCATGAAATGAAAAATCGAGTCACACATTGAAAATGCAGCACTGAAGGACGAATGAGTGATTTTAGGACAGCATACAACGGTATTCGTAGTGAAAATAAATTGCAGTTGGCACCCCCGGCCTGCATTGCAACTATCCTGACCAACGATGCTTTATACTATTTTGATATATTACATTTACACATCCTGCACTTTATTCTTGTGCGTTTCTTGATGATGCGAGGAAATTCCTAATTAGATTTCGTCAAGTAGTTTTGTACAAATGTTGCATCTTTATGGGGAATCAGCAGTGCGCATCTCATGAAACTTCAGGGATTTTCGAACAAGCGACAGTCCCGTTTGTCGTTCGAGCATCCAACACCAAAGTCTTGATCCGGATTGGAAGTAATAGGATGATGCGCCACCCATTTTACATGGGGAGCACATCCATTCTTATTGACATATTCAGGCTGGAATTAGAAGTTGCGAAACGAATGGGGTTGTCACACAAGCTGCATTTTTCCAGTTGGTATAAGAATCACTTTGATAAGCATTTCTTGCTAGACCAGGCTACCCCTAGGGACAAAATATTGTGTGACAATCACAGTATTTTTGACTCACAGAATGCCAGCATTTCTGTCACCGGAATAAATGATGGTTTAAAAAAGTACTAAATTTGTAAACAATTTAAGAATGGCTTCCAGCATGATATTGTGATTCCACAGCCGGTTTTCACTTTTGTCTTCTGAAACCGTGACATAAGATCTTGAATAATGAACGGAAATTCAAGAGGAATGCTGCAAAACATGAGTGGTTTCTGCCAGCTCATCACCTTAATTGCACAAAAACGCCGATTGATCACATACAGGAATGTAACTTTTAGGAAAAAAGCCTACTGTCCCATCAGGAAACAAAGCAGCAACGTGCCACTAATTTATTCATTGATCAAATGTAGTCAAGCTATAGACCTTACCCTATAAATTATTAAATCTGACCTATACTGTTGTGTTCATGTTGGTGTTGTGTTCCTACTGCTTTTTGCAATCAAGAGAATAAATTTGGGGTAAATAGGCAACAAACAATCACACTGCAAGGCTACAAGTGTGTTGCATTCAATTTGTTGTCATTGAATAAATTTTGGCTTTTGTTGTGTTTTGTCTAAGTCTTTAAAACCATGCATACCTGGTGGAACATTTTTAACCAAACGAGGATTTCTCTGCCATAATCTTGATTCCGTTCCGACAAAGTTTTCAATGCTGACACGTTCACACAAACTTGTGCGCTGATCTCCGGCATGTTCCTTCATAAATATAAAAATAAAATTGAGTTATTTGGCGGGTAAAACAAACAAACGGGACTTTCAGCATTAAACTTCAGTCAGCGCCACAAATGGAGTAAACCAATTGTGATTGGAGGGTTTGGTTGGTGCAGCGATCAGCACAAAATTCCCTTGTTATAAACTGTCTTGTTTAGAAGGAAATGAGACATTTACGGGGCAAAACAGCGAACACTATCTTCGCAAGTTAAATAAAAATTTGCAGCATAATATGTGGCAAATAATGCAAAAGAATAATTGGACAAATAGAGTTCGAATAGGAAAGATGCCACCGAATTTGCAAGTAGTAACGTCACCTGGATGGCAAAATCAAAGCCACGTGACCAATCACAAATAAACCTTCTTAAACTACTGATTTTGGAAAGATTTTCAACCTAAACTGCATTCAGCTTGTATGGCATTAGTTAGTCTGATAATTTGCCATTTCGATTTCTTGATAAGATGGCTACCCGTCCGGGGAATCAGTTTCATATTAAGATAGATTCATGGTCATCTGTAATCGGCAAGATGTCACCGGGCGTCTATGTTTTGGACTCTATTTAACTCTATTCATGGGTTTGTCATAATAATGATAAATTTATGATCAGATGTTGTGCAGAAGCAGTTCTAGACCAGCTGCGAGGTACCGAAGAGTAAATCACCCTCTCGTTTTAATTTGGTCTGCACTGTCTTCTAACAGGCACCGTTTTTAGGAGTATCCAAACTTATACTGCACCAAACACCTTGAGTATTGCAGACATTAACTATAAAGAGAATCATTCACTGAAAAACAAAAGACTTTGCAAAGCAAGCAAACAGTGCCTGGACAAAAAACAAATTAAAAAACTGCCATCTACCTAAGTCAACATCTTCAATTCGGATACGCGTCTCACGATTTGCAGTTTTGCCGACGCGCCAAATTTTCATGTGAATGCAACGTTTTGCTCTTAAGCGCTTCTTTTTTTTACAATTTTCAGCCACTCTTATATTGTGTATAGGTTTTTTATTTCATTGGGTGCCAAAGTGAATGCCGTTGAAACTGACTTAGTTTATTGACGTGGAAAACAACAGAATATCAGTGATCATGACGATAATTTATTCCAAATTCATATCTAAATTCAATTTATTTTGTAAAGTCGCCATTTGAATAACAGTTGAGTATTTCTGAAGAACGATTTCGGTGGCGTTGGAGAAGTAAATCCTTAAAATAACATATGAATTGCATTACTAAAATCTGAATGATTACCATACACGCCAGACGACCTTAATCGAGATGGGTCCCCGAATTTACCCTTTCAAGTGACGTATTATTACTGCAGTTCATTATTTACATTTACCAAACAAGATTACAAACCTGCAGCCATCCTCTGACGTTCCCCTCATTAGTATCAGTCATGCTAGCCCTCTTTCGAGCCACTGCTTCATGTTCAGTTATCTCTGAATGTTTTCCAACTTTTTTGGGGGAACTCTGTTGGCTTTTCCTTTGTCTGCGACCACAGCAACGTTCAATAGCTTGGCGAACATGACAATGTCCGAGACGACGTCTGCTAAAAACGGGGAAGAGTGGTGAAAAGCATGGTAAGTTTGTCTAAAGAAAAACATTCCGTTGTAAATAGTGAAACGGTAAAGATGTTTCCAAATAAGAAGCCACCGGAAAATTTGTACTTGGCTGACTATATCATGCATTCTCCAACCCACCTCTTTATTGTTCACGCAGAATGACTAACAGGCTGGCATTAGGCTGCTTGCTTTGCTTACGCACTTTAGTTAGCCGAAATGAGAACACCCAGGTTTTTTATAAAACTGTCAATGTCTGCACCGAATTGCGTCAGGACAAGAAATCGAACGCAGTGTTGCCTGCTTTTCTGGGTGGGCATGGCTCATCGTATCTGACATTTTATCTCCGATACTTAAATTTATGTACATTTGCTCGAGTAAACGTCTCATTGGCAGCTCCAGCTTTACAAAAGTTGGAACGAAAACCAAATTACACTTGTAACGGAGCGCAATCTAACGTGATGTATGAAACACAAAGTGATGGATTTCACTAAGCATGTATTTTGTACAACTTGATAATTCCCAGCTTCTAACCACAGATTAACATTGTGACATAAGCATCTTATATAACGGGCCCTACAGATTCTCATCAATGGAGTATTGCAAACTGTGTTTCTTATTCACATTTGGCCATAGCGCAAAATATCCTAACGAAATTGTGTTCTGTCACACGCATCGCAGGCCTAATTGGGTTTACAGCTGTAGCTCTCCAAAACTGATCGCAAAGTTGGGCATTTTTGTGAAACTAAATGTAACCTAATCCGGGATTTGTCTGGTGACAAATGTCAGTCACTCTAAATTCACTCATATGGATAACCACTTTGAGCTGGGTGGTTCTTATGTATGTCTCACCTCTATGTAGCAAGCCACGTAAATTGAGGGATCAGGTTTTAAACAGGGAAAAGTGGACCCGGAAGTAGAATTACAACGTTGGTGACCAACAAAACAAAATTATGCCTATCTTTTTGTCCATGGACTGCATCATCATCAACGACAGCATGACATCAGTGCTCAACACCAATGCTTCACTGCCGTACAGCCATGACTTATTTGAAAGCCTTATTGTAAAGAAAAGAATAAAGGTGGATGGGGGGG